GTACTTTTCCAATACGTGATGTAAACAGATCAGACTCTGAGCACGACCTTGAGATGCTGAACCCTAAACCCTAAACTCCAAACCCTAAACCCCAAACCCTAAACCCTAAACCCCTAAACCCCTAAACCCCAATGGCCTCTATGCAGTGAGCTTTGGGCTGAAGTGTTCAACGGCAGTTCGTTCACCCCATTTTAGGGTTTAGGGTTTAGGGTTTAGGGGGGGGGAGTTCCCAAAATTAGGGGTACCTCCTTTAGGGGTCCCTAGAGTAAGGATGATAGTGCTTTGGGGTCTATATGGGGGTCTCCCCATTAATGACAGCTACAATATGACCCTCATTTCCATTTAATTTTCCATTTGATTTGACATTATTGGGGTAATACCCCCAAGCCCCATATTGCATTTCCATACCCATGTATGGAAGATGCCATCTTGATTATTAAGTCCGAAAAATGGCGTAAGATTCGTTTAACTGGCTCGAGCCTTAATTTCTCAACCTTCACAGCCTGCATTTTTGGGTTTAGGACCGGCTTCCTAAAGGATCCAAACCATGAAACCTCATGATGAAGACCTAGTTTGCGCAATGTGGCAATGGGATCCTTCCTGGGGTGGCTCGATTTTTTCTTTTGATCCGAAAGTCTAAACTGTGGGGATCCGGGTACCTGGGCCAGAAAAGCTTGAACCTGCTGCCAGGACGAGAAGGGCAACACTGCACTTCACTGGTCCTGCCTTCTTGGTGAAAACCTCAGTTTTTCTGGACAAGCTGCACCACTCCAATCCTGAAACAAGAAAGACCCAGGGAAGACTCTCACGCTTTTAGAGGGTCCATTTTTTGGCGATGGGAGTTGTGGTAGACAGTACAAAAATGCATTCAAAAAGTCGCCAGGCATTTATGTCGTTATATCTTATCTGTCAGGCGTCAAAGCTCATGGGGTTCAGGGAAACATTATCGGGACATGTGAGCGTTTGGAATCCGATCTACGTAAGCAGATCTCCGCAGGGGTCCCTGGGCACAGCATTTTCTTAGGCCCTGTGAAGCGAGCACCAAATCGCATTACTAGCTTGAACTTGAGGGTGAAACTCGGCGTTCGCAACCGTGTTATGCATGGCCTGTGCTCCCCTTCTCACAGCCCTTTCTACAGCCCTAGATTACATGTAGGGTGCAGATGACGAAGTAGGGTCCATAACTCTGGCAACATTATTCTGGAGGGATCCTTCATGCTAATTAACTCAATCGCAGGTATTTGAGCTAAGCCCTTGGCCCATGTACCCAAGACATGAAATGCTTCGAGTGCAAGATGCTACCAGCAACATGTTTTTGTACGTGTTGATGAAGGATCCCTGTTCTTTTAGCGCTTGGGCTAGCCATGGATAGGTGCCGATCAATGTTTGCCGTCCCCTTACTGATGCATTCTCTGTTCGATACAACTGCGCACAAGCTCGCCACAACATCTGGCTTTCGAATATGGTTTCTGACAGCGGTGCATCCTTAAATAGTCCGGTTTCACCGGATATTACCTAGAAGCCTCTGACAGCTTCGTGTGTTCCAACGCTGAAAAGAGCACACAGAAGTATGTACAAGTCATGTTTGCCTGAACCCGGAGAGGGCACACGATTGTAGCCCTTCTTGGAAACGAGTGTATTTTAAAACCACTTGGAGCGAGATGCTACCTGAATCTATGCAAGGAATGAAGGAATGGGTCATCTATTGGATCCATTTCCCTGTACAATCCATTCTCATATTCTCTAGAGTGCATCCCCTCTTCCCTACTAAGCACAACGCAGAGCCCAGATTACAAAATCCAAATCTCCCAGTGCACCAGCCTGCCCTGTTCTCTAACTCTTCTGCCGGTTAAGCCCTAAACCCTAAACTACCCTAACCCCGAAACCCTAAACTACCCTAAGGCTTTAGGGTTTAAGATTTCATCTCTTGCTCTCCCAACGTCAAGCCGTACTGCTGACACACCAAACTTAGGTTTATAGGTTTATAGGTTTTTAGTTGAGGTTTTAGGTTTTAGGGTCTAGGGCTTATAGGGTTTAGGGTTTAGCTAGTTAAGGTTTTAGGGTGTAGAGCAGCCCAAATCCTCGCTGCGGGATTGACTCGATCGTGGTCCCGAGGACCTCGCTTTAAAAGAAATAGGCTGAGCCCTGTGACCCTTGATCCCAATGATCCCAACACTGTGTCAAGGCTGGGTACTGCCCCCACTCTTAGTTGGAGGATATGAAATAAGATGAAGAATCTAGTTATATGTGGGTGGTTGTCAAAATGATGGTCCCTTTTTGGGTCCCTATTATAATACGGCACCTAATATATAGGGTACCCAAAAGGGACCATAATTTTGACAACCACCCATATAGCCCTGACCACTAATATAGACTGTTACAGGGTGGGGGCAGCAGCCAATGTCAAGGCATGGATAGCTTGACCTCACTCATCCTGGCCCATGATGCCCGCGTGGTGCGCCTGCGCGTCATGTAACAAGGGTTTAGAGGTTTATAGGGTTTGGGTTTACCCAAGCTCCAAGAGCCCCTGTCTCTTTTGTTGGCTGATACGGACCCAAAAGGGCCAGGTGTATTCAGATTTCGGGGTAAAGGGCCTGCATTTCTGGATCCTTTTTTTGAGATGGCCACCCATCCACCCGAATGTTTAGGGTTTACGGGTTAGGATCCGGATGTGGATCAAGGGTACTGGCATGGTAGTTCATGGAATACTACAGACTAGAGTTTCGGGGCGTTTAGAGATTCCCCTAAGGGTCCAAGGACCCAAATAGGATATTAGGGCCCAAATACCATTGACATTATCGTATTTGGGCCCTGAAGCCCTATTATTTGGGTCCTTGGACCCTTAGGGTTCAGGACGTATGAAGTGTTCTCAGGCGACCTGGGTGCAAAGCATTGAAGCGGTGGACGAGAAATTGGTTTGCTGCGTTAGTTCTGCTGAGGCTGAGGTTCAGAGTCCAGTCTCTTAGTTCTTTTGTGGAGCCTTCACAGGCTAACTTGGCTCCAGAACACCTTTGCAACTTCCCGTTTTGGACAAGATCTGCCCCTATTAGGTAATGTCCAATGAAGGAAGCAGGGCTTCTCAGAACCTGCGCCTGCAGCGTAAGTTATTCTACAAATGCAACGGCTGCATTTTCGAGGAGAGCCCACGCAGGATATGAACAGATGCGAGATCACTCTACCCCTCCATAAGAGAGCAAGAGCCAGCGGTCCTCGGAACCTGTTCAGACCTTGTTCCCGCCTGAACCTTTGAATCCACACGCCAACACACAACCCAACGGCCTAAAACACACAACTCTACACCTAAGCCTCCGGTCTTCGAAGAGCTCTTTCCTTTGTTTTAAACATTTTCAGTGACCTTCAACGAGCCCTGCATAAGACCATGTCAGCTGTTTCATTTCTGCCATAATGGAGTTTCTCAAAATCGTTTGCCATTTTCGGGTGTCCTTGATCAGGGGGGCGTCGTTTGATCAACACTAAGCTAGGCTTCAAACATGGCAGTCAGCCGAAACCATCGTTCACGTGCTTGAAATAGATCGTAAGTTGTTCCCTTACGCCACCACAAGCAATCCTGGCGACTTTTGGAAGTGGCCTTCCAACTTGCCATGAAGACCATATATAACCCTTACATAATCCCTATATAATCCCTATAATATAACCCCTATATAACCCCTCTATAATAGCCCAATGGCGTTCAAGGTGCCAGCGTTCTTTTTGTTCAGAATGCCCATGCACAGGAAGTTACCTTCATGAAGATTGGACGGTAAGTCCTAAGCTCCCCTAAGCCCTGAGCCCCAAACCCAAAATCCCGAAACCTAAATCCCAAACCCTACGGCCCCAAGCCCTGCACTCCATATCCCTAAATCCTAGCTGGACCCCAAAAGTATGTAGAGCCTAAACCCTAAACCCTGAACTCTAAGCCTTGGGTCCTAAAACTTAAACCTTGGCCCTAAGCCTATACCCCAAAGATCCTGAACGTCACACCCTGAACCCCAAACTATATGAGCCATAGTCTAAACTCCTTGAAGGGGGTATATAGATGAGTATGATAGGGGAGTATGATAGGGGCTATTAAAAGGGATATTAGGAGTTTAGACTATAGCTTATGTACCCTAAACCCTAAACACCAAACCCTAAACCCTAAACCCTGAACCCTAAACCCTAAACCCTAAACCGCGTGGCCAGGACATCTTAAACCAACGAGGCGACTCTGCTTCCCA